TGAAAACCCATAGTGGAAAAAAACACAGGAGAGGCAATGCCAAGGGAATACGGGAAGACAGGCATATGCAGCCGCAACCCTGTAGAAGTGTTGTCAGGAGACCAGAACATCCAAGCAATCTGCTGACAGCTCCCCATGAAGCTCATATTTCCCAGGAAATTTTAGTCACATTTCTGCCACTTCTGTTGCAATGGCCTCAGTCCCCTGCTGTAGCCACACAGCTGGGATAGGATGGTTTTCCTTTATGGAAGAAAATAACAAGAAAAGAAAACGTCTTAAGATTTGCCATTATGCAGAACACCAGTTGATATCTGGTCTTTCTTTTGGCCTCTTCTACTGTCTTATTGCCCGCCAGTTTTCCTATCCGCTGTGGAGACAGACCTTTGTCAGACTGTACTATGAGTTATGTGCTGTTCTCTTACAGGGGAGGTTGCTCTTTATAGGAGCTGAACGCACACACAAAAAGTGATCACAGCTAATACTCTGCAGCCATGATTGCCACACATTTAGTGCCAGCTCTCAAAAAAGTTTTCAAACTTCAGCTCCTAGATTCACATCATTAGGAAATTATGTTTTCGTTAAAAAGTAGTTTCTAAGGTCCATGATGATGAAGGAAAATCTAGAAATGTAATTATCTCATATCCTAAGAACGCATTCCTTCACCAAAAGGCAACGAAACTAACATCAAGTTAAGTCTGTAAATGTTCACAGCACTCACCAACTAGTGACCTCTGCTGTGCTTGCAGCAGAGCACCATGTCACCACTCCGAATTTCTTTTAACAGCCTTGTCTCCCGATCAGTCAAACCTCTGACACGGGGAAGGTTGTCTGAATTCCCAAAGCACACATGCGAAACTCAGAAAAATCGGGAAGTGAGAATATTTTTTTCCTTTCTTCTCCTGCACTTGCACCCATTTCACTGTCTGCCTGCACCAGTAACTGAAGATAACCTTTGGATAACATTTGCAACTCACACACTAATGTCCCATCTATCTCTCATTATATCTCCTCACTGCCTGTTTTTCTATTCACAGCAATTATTCAGATTATTTGGCCATGTTTTTCCAGCTCTCCCTGTGCATACAAACAATAAGCAATTCAGAATTCCAAGACATGTTTTGAAACTCTTATCTCAGCCCCCTCCAGGCACATTCCCCCCCTCAAGATTTGCCCACCATTAAGTGTCTTATAGCATTATGCAGCACATAAGGGTGCACCGTAAAACTGGAAGCACTGTCTTTATTTGCCATTGTTACTGTTCCTTCAGTAGTGAGAATTTAGAGGGCACATGTAGTCAATTCCTGACATGATGACAACTGTAGGATTGTTCATCTTAACCACAAAATATCACAACATTTTGAGGGTGTTTTTGTTTTGTGCAATATGAATTTCACTTTATGATATTTTTTCACAATGTACTGTCAAAAATCTGTCTTTCCAGGACGCTGAGGCTTCAAAGATAATTTTGTGCTCCAGTAGTTTTCCAGAAAAAAAATACTTAGAAAAATTAATTTTTGCTTTAAAAAAAGGATCAGAAAAATATTGACTACAATTCCTCTCTACATACAGAGTTTACATCAACAGTAGAAATTGCTCTGACATCTTGGGAAGTGGCGCTTAAATTCCTATTCTCTGCAAATGGCAAAAAACGAGTAAGTATTATTACATATATATGAATTTAGAAATGTCATGAACTAATTTAGAAATAGCCTATTATTTACTAATATATAAATAACCACTAAGCCCTATAGGCAGTGCATGTCTTAATGAAAAGAAAGTAAACCAAACCCACCCCATTAAATCAATACATGTTTCACAGAGTTTTGTTTGCTCCAGAAGATGAGCTCCTCGTGAAGCATTTTAAATCAAACACAAACCAGTGCCACAAAACCTCAAGAGTGAAGGGCTACAAATACCAGACTTCTCTCTTTGTGTTAAATTCAGCACAGCACATCTCTGGTAATTTCCCCACCCAGCCTAAAAGGGAACAACCTTTTTTCACTCTACAGCCTTCATAACATCGCAAGATCAAAGCGAGTCTGTGTTCTCAGCTTGCTACTCTCTGACTTCTTTTTTGGCTCTGAGGGGGACTTTAGAAGCCCTGTTCAGCAATGTACTTCTGTGGAATGACCAAACTCTTTCCAACCACCACACAAGCCAGAATCCATCTTTTGGCACCTCCCAAACCCCATTAATCTGAAATCAATTCTATCACATATCCATGCATGGGATCGCTGCCAAAATGAGTCAGGATGAACACCTGCATCTGATGTGATGCAGGCTGGCGTGTGTGTGTGTGTGTCTGAGCCTGTACCTGCTTTAGGAGAGCAGACAAACCCGATGCATGACACGATCACCTGCACAAAAGGGAGGTGAATGCAGCTTCTGTGAGGGTGAGTATGTAGCCGGTTGTAGTTGGCTTCCCACCAAACCCCACAGACTACAGAAGAAAAGCTCCCAGAAGAGAGAGAAGAAAAAAAATAACGGAATAGCAAAAGCTATATAAAATATATATATTTTACATACGTCACATATGTACAATTAAGGTACTGTGTACATATGAACACAGGAACCTCAAATTGCTCCCAAAAGGGAAAGACGGGAAGGGAAAAGGAAAAAGGGACAAAAAGGGACAAAAATGGACAAAAACGAAACAGGTATGCACAAT